GTGATCTTGAACATTTTTTCATGTTTCTGTTGGCCCTTTGGATTTCCTCCTTTGTAAAATGTCTGTTGAGGTCCTTGGCCCATCTCTTAATTGGGTTGTTGGTTTTGTTTTTGTGGAGTTTCTTGATCTCTTTGTAGACTCTGGTTATTAATCCTTTATCTGTAGCATAGTTGGCAAATATTTTTTCCCATTCTGTCGGTTGCCTCTTCACTTTGCTGACTGTTTCTTTTACAGTACAGAAACTTCTCAATTTGATGCAATCCCACATGTTAATTTTGGCTTTGACTGCCTGCACCTCCAGGGTCTTTTCCAGGAAGTCTTTGCTGGTCCCAATATCTTGCAGGGTTTCTCCAATGTTCTCTAATAATTTGATGGTGTCGGGTTGTAGATTTAGGTCTTTAATCCATGTTGAGTGGATTTTTGTGTAAGTGTAAGGTAGGGGTCTTGCTTCATGCTTCTGCACGTGGAAATCCAGTTTTCCCAGCACCATTTATTGAATAGACTGTCCTTGCTCCAGGAAATGGTTTTGGATTCTTTATCAAATATAAGTTGGCTGTAGATGTTTGGGTTGATTTCTGGTGTTTCAATTCTGTTCCATTGGTCTATCCATCTGTTTCTGTACCAGTACCATGCTGTTTTGATTACCACTGCCCTGTAGTATGTCCTGAAATCTGGTATTGTGATGCCTCCGGCTTTGTTTTTGTTGTACAGAATTGCTTTAGCTATTCGAGGTCTCCTGTGTCTCCATAAGAATTTCAGCATCATTTTTTCTAGATCTGAGAAGAATGTCTTTGGTATCTTGATTGGTATCGCATTGAATCTATAAATTGCTTTTGGGAGAATGGACATTTTGATGATGTTGATTCTTCCAATCCATGAGCATGGAAGATTTTTCCATTTTTTGGTATCCTCTTCTATTTCTTTCTTTAAGGTTTTGTAATTTTCATCGTAGAGATCTTTAACATCCTTGGTTAAGTTTATTCCAAGGTATTTGATTGTTTTTGTAGCTATTGTGAATGGGATTGATCTTAGCAGTTCTTTCTCAGCCGTGGCATTGCCTGTGTATACAAAGGCTGTTGATTTTTGTGCATTGATTTTATATCCTGGTATGCAGGCATTTGAAGTGGCAGCTTAAACCCTAGGCCCCTCCGAAGCCTATGGAATATTCTAATGCATACTTTAAATAGGGAGAGATCTCATTGAGTCTCTTGAAGCTTTATCATTTTGGGAAAAGTACTTTTTCCTCCTGGAAATCTACCACCCTTCTAAAGCTGTAACTAATAGTATGTCTATGTTCAGGGATTTCACTGTTAATTTGCAGACTTTTGTTTAATTTCTTCAGATTTTACTCTTGATTTTTATTTACTTGGTATATTCTGAAAAAGGGGAGTTGCAAATAATGTGTTATAATTTATTTTAATTAGAACCTTTACTTATGGGTAGCGATGTGTGAGGAACATTAATACCATCTGTGCCAGTGTTGATGGCTTCCAGCTGAGCTGTGAGATCTTGAATTCAGTTAGACAATGCATAGGTTGATTTTATCAAGCTGGCACAAGGTGAACTCTCAGTTCACCAAACATGCTGCTACTTCTGTGCCTACAAGCCAAAGCTCAAGTTCACCAAGAGTTCACATGCCAAATTAAAATGAATGGAATCATTTCATTGGATTATCCTGGAATAAACTGTTTTGTGTGTTTGTATGCTGAAAAAAAATCCTCTTATTCCTTACTACAAATGCAACAAGAGTAGTTGTCCATTTTGTAAATATAAAATGCCATAGGGAAATTACATGTTTATTAGAAGTTTTAGTACAAAATACCTTAAAGAATATTTAAACTTATTTGTTTTTTTTTATTAACTTTATTTATTTGAAAAGCAGAGAGACAGAAGAGATCCCCCAATCTGTGAGTTTACTCCCCCACATGCCTGCAACTGCTGATTTGGGCAAGCTGAAGCCAGAAGCCCAGAACTCCATCTGGTTCTGCCTCCTAGGTGGTAGGGACCCAACCACTTAAGCCATCACCTGCTGCCTCCAAGGTTGTGCATTAGTGGAAAGCCAGAATGGAGAGTAGAGCAGGGACTTAAACCCAGACTCTGTAATACGAAGTGGTGCTTTAACCACTGCATCAAACACCTTCCCCAAGAGAAAATTTATAAATAGAAATAACCCCAATTCCATACTTTTCCCTTGTAATAATATACGGATACAGAGTATCTGTTCTATTTTAAATTCATAACACTTCTAGATACTGATGATATTTGAGGGCATTTTACAATAAATGATGCATAGAAAAGAGACATCCTGGGAGTTAATGTTGGGGGGCAGCTGATTAAAACACTGCGTGCAGTGCTGGTAGCCAGTTTCAGAGTGCTAGTTCAGGTCCTGGCTCCTCTACTTCTGATGCAACTTGCTGCTGTAGCTGGGAAGGCAGTGGAAGACGGCCCAAGTGCTTGGGAATCTGCCTTCCGTGTGGGAGACCTGAATGGATTTCCTCGTGCCGTGCTTCAGCCCGAGCAGACCTGGCCATGTGGCCACTGTGGGAATGAACATGGAGATGTCTCTCCTGCCGTCCCCTCCTGCACTCCTGTTGCTCTGCCCTTCAAATAAAGAAAATAATTCTTTTTTTAAAAAAGATTTATTTATTTATTTGAAAGGCAGAGTTACAGGAGAGAGAAAGAGAGAGATATCTTCTACATGCTGCATCATTCCACCGATGGCCCCAATAGCTGGGGCTGGGCCAGGCCAAAGTTAGGAGCTAGGAGCTTCTTTTTTTTTTTTTCTTTTCTTTTTTAATTTTAATTTTTTTTTTTTGACAGGCAGAATTAGACGGTGAGAGAGAGAGACAGACAGAGAGAAAGGTCTTCCTTTTTCCGTTGGTTCACCCCCCAAGTGGCTGCTACAGCTGATGCTGGCTGCAGCCGGCACGGTGCACTGATCCAAAGCCAGGAACCAGGTGCTTCCTCCTGGTCTCCCATGGGGTACAGGGCCCAGGTACCTGCGCCATCCTCCACCTCACTCCTGGGCCACAGCAGAGAGCTGGACTGGAAGAGGGGCAACTGGGACAGAATCCGGCGCCCCAACCAGGACTAGAACCCAGGGTGCCAGTGCTGCAGGCAGAGGATTAGCTGCACCAGCCAGCTAGGAGCTTCTTTCAGGTCTCCAACGTGGTTGAAGGGGCCCAGGGTCTTCGACCATCTTCCCCGGCTTTTCCAGGCATATTAGCAGGGAGCTGGATGGGAAGTGGAGTAGCTAGAACTAGTGCCCATTTCAGATGCTGGCATTGCAGGCGGAAGCTTAAACTTCTGTGCCACAGTACTGACCCAATAACATAAAATTTTCAAAGGAAAAGGAGAAAAACATCATGTAGTTGGCATTTGGCAAACATAAGACAAAACAAAGAAGAATCCTCCCTTTTTGAGACGAGTCATTATGTGAAACTTTAGCACTAGAAGACAAACAGAAATCATGATTACAAAGTAGAGCTTATTATATATATTTTGTGTCTAAACAAAATTAGTGTGTGGTATTTAAAAGCCAATAATGTTTTAATAATCTCAGATACATTTACCTTTGTTGAATAGTATAGTAAAAAAGTGGGGAAAGTTTTTTCTTTTCTGTTAATCAGCATTTTAATATTTGGCATCACTTCAAATAAATTGGTCTTTCTCATGGCTTCTCTGAATGGGCCCACACCTTGAGCCCAGTCCTTCCCATCACATCCCAATCTTCTCATTGGTCCATGTGCAATGTGCAGCTAGCTGGTGGGTCCTTCCGTCTCTCTGCATCCGCCCTCTGAAAGAGGGGGATGTTTTTATAGATTCTGCTTTAGGTTAATCTTCATGATGTAAAAAAGGGGAATCTGATATTTAGAAGAATAAAAACATTCTAAGTCCATTTTGGTAATTGAGTTTATTTTTATATTTGAAATTGTCTTGCTTCAGTGTTTGTGCTATTTCAAATTTCATCTCATTGATTCCTGACAGTGTTGAGGTAGGCTTTAAGTATCAGTGAAAGGGAAATTTGGGAATGTTACGTGACTTACTCACAGTCATACTACCAATGTGTGACCGTGGATGAATTTGTTAACAAAATCTCATCCCCTGGTACAGGAAAATGTGGGCAAATTAATTCCCCAGCTCTGTAGCCATGAAAATCAATATCAAATAGCTTTTCATCCCTTGGGTGGCATAGGCCTCTCTGCTGTGTGAAACTGATTTTATGGGTAAATTGTGGCTGACGTGGACAAACCATAATTGAACAAGAAATATCTTGTAAGGTTTTAGTTTTGGGAATGTTGCTCGCGTGTTCTTTGAGAGGATTTTGAGAACTCTGCCTATGGAACTGTTGGAAGATATTGTCTCTTTGGGGCCACGAAATTCCTTCCCAAGGCAGACATGGCCGTAGGTCTGACTGCTCTGTGACTCTGTCTCTCTGCCTCTGGGCTGTCAACTGAGAGGAGCACTCCTGGTGGCCTGTTAAGTTGCTTTGTGTACTGCTGCTGGTGCTTTCACTGAAGCCACAACTACTGCTGCCCTGCTGGTAGCCTTGGTTCCTGTCCTCCAGACTGATGCCAGGTGTGGCCTGTGCTTGCCTGATGGGTCCAAAGGATCAGTGTCAGTTGAGAAGGCCCCTTGCTGGGTTTGCAGAATGGTGCAGGTGGAATTTGAAACCGACCTCTAACTCCCATGCTTTCTCTGTGTTTTTCATAGTTCTTTCATCTTCTGTGCTTTGTTTTGTGTTACAAATCCACAGCTTGTTGACCTTTCCATTCCCATTGGATGCTGTTCCATCTTTACGTCTGAGCAGCCTAGGACAGAACTATTTTGGTAGTATCTCTATTATTGATGCACAGCTGCTCAACTTGTTGCCTGTATTGTTAGTCCAAGCCCCCCCCCCCCCCCCAGGTAATTCAAATGCAATATATGGTATAGAGAATGATGGTACCAGTTGTATTCATGAGTTGCTTTCCTCTGCTCCCCCTCTTTTTTCTTTCTAGGCAGCCTCCTGTCAGTGAGTCCCATTGGAGAACCTTGCTGCAAGACATGCTAACCATGCAGCAGAACGTGTACACGTGTCTGGATTCCGATGCTTGCTATGAGGTAACCGCAGGTGTCAACTGGTGCCTTTTAATTTATGAATTTTGGTTGTTAGGGTTTTTTGGGCACCAGGGAGGTGGCCAGAAGCTGCATTATAAATAATACTCTTTAATAATATCTGATATTGACTAGTGCTTTATATTTTAAGTACTTTCATACTTGCCTTTTTTCTTTCCTATGTTTTTTTTATTGTAAACCATCTGTTTGGTGGGTTGATCCTAGAAAGCCTGATCACACTTGACTATACTCATTTGCGTTACTTTTGGTGGTCACTAAAACTTACTTAATGTACCAGACAAAAAGACTTTTAAATCTGTCCTGTGTTCATTTCTACGACAGATTTTCCTCTCCACAGCCCTTTCTGGCCTGTGTGATTTAAAGTATTCTAACGACAAATCTTTTCATGACATTCTTCTTATAATTTGTTGCTTATTCCATGAAAATGATCAGAAAGTCCCAACACTTCTTAGCCAGGCTTTCCAGCCCATATCCGATTCCTGCCTCCCTGTCTGCTCCTGCCCTGTTGGCCTCCACCGTGTCCTCTGTGCTCTGGTGCGTTCCATCACATCTGTTGTGAATCTGCCACCCAGAATGCTCTTCCGTGTTCCTGTGACTTTGATACTTTATTCCCCTTGCCTGACATGTGCGTCCCTTTCCTTTATTTTGAAATTCCTGGTAAATTTTCAGGACCCTACTCTCTAATTATGCCCTGCTGGATACCTTCCTTACACCTTTCATGCAGCTTGCCTCAACTATAGCCTTCCTTCAGGAAGCAGTTTTTGGTTGGTGTCTTTGTTTCTTCCATTTGATAATGAACTCTGAGGTAGGAATTAACATTTCTTGTTACTCTTCATGTTCTCAAGTGCATATTATAATGTCTGGAATATAAACAATACTTAAGACTTGCTTGTTAATTGACTAGGAGAATTATCATTTTGAAGATATATATTTTAACAATAAATTACTCATGTTTTATATGGATAAGGGATCCAGCCAACTCATTTTTAATGAAATGCAGTATAAAAGAGATGTCTCATTTTAATTTTCTGGTTAAATAAGCTGGACACAAAATCATATAGAGTATTTCTTGTGTCACTTTGTTCTGCTTCTATAAAGCGTGACTTGTTGATAAATGAGAGTTGTAAAAATAGGTTAAATTGTTTAGTTTATAATTGAAGGCAATTTTAACAGAAGAGCATTAGTATCGACCATTGAGAAATGAATGGATTTGAATTTAAATTTCAGATTTTTAAATGCTTGAATGACCGCATTGTTCATATTGGTGGTTGCGGTCTTAGACCATATAAACTGCCAGTTACTTCTTCCCCTTTTGCATCTAAAGCAAAACTTGAGATCAATTTCACAAGAAAATAATCTTGTATGCACTTGAGGTCTAAAACCTAAGAGTCATTTGAAAATGACTGTAAAATGAAGCAGGATTTATACCTTATAGTAGCATTATTGTGGTACTTGCTTTTTTCTGACTGATTTTGCTAAAGATTTTTTAAAAATGGAAATAAATGTTATTCTTCAGCTAGCTTTTGTGTAGAACAGTGCATCATAACAACTGGATATATTACATTTAAAAACATATTGTGGTATTTTCTGTTAGGCAGTGATTTTTTAGTGACTACTGTCCATGCTTATTGCTTTGTTGAGAAATTACTTGAAAGCACGACAGTCTTGAAAAGATTATACAAGTTTGTAGTATAAATCTGATAAACTTAAACTTTTAAATGATTTTTTTTTTTGACAGGCAGAGTGGACAGTGAGAGAGAGAGATAGAGAGAAAGGTCTTCCTTTTGCCGTTGGTTCACCCTCCAATGGCCGCCGTGGCCGGCGCACCGTGCTGATCCGAAGGCAGGAGCCAGGTGCTTCTCCTGGTCTCCCATGGGGTGCAGGGCCCAAGCACTTGGGCCATCCTCCACTGCACTCCTGGGCCACAGCAGAGAGCTGGCCTGGAAGGGGGGCAACCGGGAAAGAATCCAGCGCCCCGACTGGGACTAGAACCCAGTGTGCCAGCGCCGCTAGGTGGAGGATTAGCCTATGGAGCCGCGGCACCGGCCTAAAATGATGTTTTATATCTTTTAAACTATGCTATATTGTCTTACTGACATTTAGCTATTAGGTTTTGCTGTCCCTGGAAAATAATTTGGAAGCTTGGTAGCATAGCTTTTACAATGTCAGATAGACACTTAGATACAGCCTGTAAAATGGAAATCTATATTGTTCATTTTAGCAAAACATTTTTAAGTGTTAGGGTGAGTAAATTGTATTTTTCAATAGCTTCTATGCTTACTTGAATAAACCAGAAAATTTGGAGGAAGTGTTATGTGTAAGTCACTTGGGTTAGACATAGAGTAAGCCATTTTCATCTGTCAGATATAAGGGATGGGGCTGCTCATTGATGATTTGCTTTCTGTCACACTGTCTGTTGTGTAGCAGATTCCTCTTAGTGCTTTTATCCCTGTCAGAAATCTCCATGAAGGCCTTTCTAAAAATGTTTCCTGTAGGAAGCATAGATATAAAGAATCGAAAGAAAGAGATTCTATAAAATTGGATGATCTTCCTAATTATAATGAAACTCTTGTTTCTCCATGGAGTCTTTTTATTTATTTATTTATTTTCATTTGTTCTCTCTCTCTGCTGTTCCCATCTAACTGTGGAGTGCTTGGAAAGGACATTCCTGAGAAATTTCTTTTACTAATTATGGATAGCATTTCTAGTAAAGGTTTAAAAGGACTGTTTTGTTTAGTACTTTTTGTAGAGTAAATATATAAATAATCCCCATTATAGAAATAATTTTATATTCATTGATGCTGTTACTTACCTGGTATAATACAAAGATATTTGCATGAATACCTTCTATGAGTGTCTCTTGTTTTATTTAAATAATTTTTGATATGCAGGTTGGGAAAAATTTCACCATTATATGATATGTTTTAATTTTTGTGACTAGGTATATGTATAACATTTGTAGCTTTAAGTTCAGATTGTTTAAGCAGTTATGAATTGTATGTATTGTATTCAAAGAGTTTCTTCTAAATATTTGAAATAATTACAGATATTTTCAGCAGAGTGGGTCCTATTGAGGGTAGAATAGTGTGCCTAATAGGTCCTGTTTTAGTGAATATGAATTTTGGATAATCAGTGATACTAAAATTTTCATTGCAACACATTAAAATACTGTGCCTTTCTTTTGGGTTCTGTGAAATTACTCTTTCTTCCTGAAAGATGATTTGTATAATTGAGGTGAAATTCTCAAAACTTAACATTAACCATTTTCAAGTGTACTGTTCATTGTCATTTAGTTTATTCACAGTGTTTTGTGACCACCACTTCTAGGATAGGTGTGTTTTCAGTTCATTTTGTTTGTATTTCAGACTTGCATGTTGTTGAGGACTGAGTGACTCTTCTTTTCACTAACTCCAGTGTGTTTTTTGCAGATTTTTACTGAAAGCCTTCTGTGCTCCAGCCGTCTGGAGAATATCCACCTGGCTGGGCAGATGATGCACTGCAGTGCTGCTTCTGTCAGCCCTGCGGTTGGTGTGGCCCCCAAAGGGAAACCCCAGTACAGGGTCAGTTACCAAAAAAGCATTGACTTGGTTTTGGCTGCCAGCAGGGAGTACTTCAATTCTTCGACCAACCTCACCGACAGCTGCATGGATTTGGCCAGGTAGGCTAATGCTGTCACCTTCCGAAAGAGGAGAGAGAGGGTCCAGTGTTAGTTTATTCTCTACAAAATGTATCGTCATGAGTACAGATTGACTATGCTCTGTGAGCACTGTGATTTATTGTCTGAATACAGAAATACATGAAAACTGTTTATGTTGTAAATACCTATCAATTTTCTCTTGTCTCTTTTTCTCTAACATGTTTTCCCATAGTCATTTTTGTGGATATCTGTAAGACTGTGGTATTTTTCTTCCGTTCAAAGAGATTCATGTGATTTCACATAAATTCAAGTTCTGGAAATTTTCAGCACGTATGGGTTGGTATCTTGTGTGCTTTGCATGGCTCCTGCTGTGTTTGGAGTCAGGGGCCTGAGGAATGACAGAACTCACAAGTCCTTCCCAGGTTTAAATTTCTGGAATATCAATTCAGTTTCTCTGTTGGCTTTTATTGCTATTTTAATCTACTCCTCTCATTTAACACTACAAAGATGTGTTCATCATCTCAGGTCTCATAAATTAGGTATGCAAAATTTTATTGATTTTTTTTAGAAGACTTTATTCGTTAGTTTTTATAAATTTAAATTTTATAAAAAGAGTCCAATGAATTATTAGCCAGGAAGTAAGATCTGTATTATTCTGTACTAAGGAATTTGAAAAGCTTCAGAAAGACAACCTTACTTCAGTGTTTTAGAAGCTGAAATGTGAGTAGGTGCATTTTCCCTCTCTCCCTTGCCCTCTGGCCAGTGTCCTGATGTGGCTCTCCCTTGCTGTTGTCCATTCTCTTTTGTAGCCTCTCCTATTCCTGTGTGCCTTTATCTTTTAATGCATCTTTGGAAGTGTGAGTCTGTTTTGCATTTCTCTGTCTGAGGTCTCCTTCCAGCCCCTGTTCTCAGAGCTGAGCTGATTGCCGTTCATTTCTGGACACACACTTTCTAACTGATTTTCCTTCTCAAGGCAGTTTACAATTTTTCTGAGGATCTGAGTTTCTCATGGAATTGCTGAATTTTTGATTCTGGTTTTATATGCTTTTACTTAAAATTAAAAAAAATCGTTTATTTAGTTGAGGGGGAGAGAGTGAGAGAGAAACACAAGCAGACAGAGGAGAGAGTTTCTCAGTATGCTGGTTCACTCTCCAGATGCTCACAGTAGCAAAGCTGGGCTGGGGCCAAGCTGGGAGCCAGGAACTCAACTTAATACTATACATTTTATCTTCTCAGTTTTCTAGTGAACACTGTATTTAAGGTATTCTGCACTTTTTTTGATGGTGAATTGCCATTCTGTGTTTAAAGAAAATAATAAGATACTTTGAGCCTAATCATTCATGTACTGTTTATTTTGCTGATATAACTGTCTATAATTTTGCAGAATTGAGACACTAGAATACATTTTTAACACACTTTTTTCAGTTATTTATTACATTAATATAAACAGATCTGCAACCTTTTCATATGCTTTTTAATATTATGAATGATTATACTAGTTTTGTCTAATCTTTGGTTGCATATATTAGTTTCGAGTTCCTTTCTTTCCATTGTCTGAGAAGCATTAGAATGTCAAGGTGAAGAAAGTACCTTCTAGAGCCAAGTGCCTATGTACAAATCCAGTCTTGGTCAGTTAGTGATCATGACTTTGGACCAGTCATCAAGACGTCAGGGTGAAGACCCATGAAATGTGGGGCTATTGTGATAGTAACTGAGTCTATAAAACAGGTAAACTCTACCTTTTTGTATAGATGCTGCAGGGTACAAATTCTGGATCAAGGGGTAAGCATGTGTATTGAAAATGTTACCGGTTTATTTCCAATTAGTAGGACATTTAAAGTGTCCTTCTTTCAATAAGTTGTTAGTCATTCCAATTTTTGTCTGTTGAACACCTTTTGATACCTATTTCACGCACTTATTTTTCTTATGGGGTGTTCATCTTTTTCAGACTGGCTTTTAATGGCTTTTATTTTCTGGCATAAGGGACATTTGCCCTTTGCCTGTCTGGAATTTTTTTTAAGCATGAGGTAGTCACAGGCTTTTTTTTTTTTTTTTAAAGATTTATTTATTTATTTGAAAGGCAGAGTTACAGAAAGAGAGAGGCAGAGAGAGAGAGAGAGAGAGGCAGAGAGAGAGAGAGAGAGAGGTCTTCTATCTGCTGGTTCACTCCCCAGATGGCTGCAATTACTGGAACTGTGCTGATCGGAAGCAGGAGCCAGGAGCTTCTTCCCGGTCTCCCTCACAGGTGCAGGGGCTCAGGGATTTGGGCCACCTTCTACTGCTCATGTTTTCTCAAGCCATGTTATTTCTTTGAGAGAGTTGTTTAAAGTAGTTACTGAATCTCTTTTTTTTCTCCCAAGGAATCCCAAGTTTATTTCAAATGATGCAAATATCACAACTTGGAGTTGTTTCTGACCTAACTCCTTTTGGCAAGTGATTCTCAGGGATCTTTTTAAAGTGTTCTTCCTTTTCTCCTACACCAGCATATACCACATTTGAGAAGGGTGCCCTCTGTATATGATGGGCACTTAACTGCCCTCTGTATATGATGTGGCACTTAACTGATTGCTACCTTGAGCCACAATGTATTTCAGTATTTACAGTTATATTGAATATAGAAAATCACCTATACATGTTAGTTGTATTTTTTGGTTTTGAAAGAGTGAGAGAGAGAGGGAGAGGCAGGGAGGTCTTCCATCTGCTGGTTCATTCCCCAAATGGCTGCAACATCCAGAGCTGGGCCAGACGGAAGCTAGAAGCTTCATCCATTTGGGTCTCCCACATGGGTGGCAGGGACCCAAGTCCTTGGGCCATCTTTTGTGGTTTTTCAAGGACTGATATCAGGGAGCTAAATGCCAATGCCAGCTTTGCAAGTGACTGCCTAATTGTTGAAAACATTACTTACTGGCCGGCGCCATGGCTCACTAGGCTAATCCTCCGCCTGTGGCGCCGGCACACCAGGTTCTAGTCCCGGTCGGTCGGGGCGCCGGATTCTGTCCCGGTTGCTCCTCTCCCAGTCCAGCTCTTTGCTGTGGCCCAGGAGTGCAGTGGAGGATGGCCCAAGTCCTTGGGCCCTGCACCCCATGGGACACCAGGAGAAGCACCTGGCTCCTGCCTTCGGATCAGCGCGGTGCACTGGCCGCAGCACGCCAGCCGTGGCAGCCATTGGAGGGTGAACCAACGGCAAAAGGAAGACCTTTCTCTCTGTCTGTCTCTCTCTCACTGTCCATTCTGCCTGTCCAAAAAAAAAAAAAAAAAAAAAAAGAAAGAAAAAGAAAACATTACTTACTGGCTAATTTTTTTAATTTAATAATAATTATCCAAAGCAATAGATATCTAAACAGTGCAGAGAGGTTATGTACTGACAGTAAGTCTCACTCCTCCTTCTAATTTCCCAGCTTATTCCTCAGCTATTTTTAAATTAGTTTATTTTGTATCCTTTCATATATTTTATTTTATGCTTTTCTTTCTTAAATAGCAAGTAATTATGAATACATCTCTGTACCTTGCTTTTTTCTCTTATTTTTTACTTCAGAGCTTTTTCCTTAAGAGTATGTATATGCCCCATTCTTTTTTGTTTGTAGAGTATTTCACTGTTTGACTTTTATAGAATTTATTTAATAAGCTTCATATTTGGTATGTTTTCTTTCATTTAAGAAACACAATGCTGGTGAACATCCATAATTTTTTGTCTTTGAATGTGTGTGAACTTATTTGTTCTGTAAATTCCCAAACTAGAATTCCTAGATTTAGAAGTAAATGCCTTTAAGATTTTGATGGAAATCACTTCCCAAATGCCCACAACAACTATTGCTTGGCCTTGTCAAAGCCAAAAGCTTGAAACTGCATCCAGGTTTTCCATTTGGGTGGCACGGACCCAGACCTTTTGTGCTTGAGCCAGCAGTATTTGTGGGGGCTCAACTGATCTAAATCCTACAAGCTTGCAAGAGTAAGTCAGCCTTTATAATTCAGTCTTAGAGATGCTATTCATGGGCCTTGATACCTTCATGTGTGATCTGTGCTATCAGCATTCTTTAGCCCTTTATGGACTGATCTCTGTCTTTCTAGTCTGTGTCCCAGTGTTCCTCAGTATCTTTAAGAAAGTAAATTTTTAAAAATAAGGTTATTTATTATTTATTTGAAAGGCAGAGTTGCAGAGAGAAGGAGAGAGAGAAGAGGAAGAGAGAGATCCATCTTCCATTGTCCCAACCCCTAGTTCACTCTTCAAATGACTGCCATGGTCAGGGCTGGGCCAGGTCAAAGCCAAGAGCCTGGAACTCCACCCAGGTCTCCCACGTGAGTGGTAGGGGCCTAAGCACATGGGCCATCTTCCACTGCTTTCCCAGGTGCATCAGCAGGATGCTGGATTGAAAGTGGATCAGCCAAGGACTTGAACCAGCACTCACATAGGATGCTAGTATTGCAGGTGGTGGCTTAATCCATTGGGCCACAATGCTCGCTCCAAGAAAATAACTTAACTCACTGAACTATCTATTAAGTGCATTTTGTCTGGAGTTTTGAAAATTTGCTTAAAATACAGGGTATCACACATACTTAGATTAGCAAATATGCATTTCTCCTTTATGGTCAGAAAAACCTTGTGCAGTTTCTTTAGTCATTTCTTGTTTCTTTTTGTATACCAAATTGTGACCAAATCAATACATTCCTGTTTTTTTTTTTTTTTTTTTTTTTTTGAGAAGGGAAACTAGAAATTTTCTGAATCCTTGTATGTGTTTTGATGTAATCAGTACCTTTGCATTTAGCAGTCAGAACAGCACTGACCACAGAGTTAGGATATTTCACCCTGTGAACCTGCTCTGTGCTGTAAGTGTAACAGCTTGGGTAAATCACAACACCTCTCTGGCCTTGCATTTGGCTTCCTTCCCTAGATAGCAGCTGATGTTGTTTGCCCACCTTACAGGGTTTTTGTGAGGAGCAAGTAAGATAACAGCATCAGGGGCCGGCGCTGTGGAGTAGCAGGTAAAGCCGCCACCTGCAGTGTCGGCATCCCATATGGGTGCCAGTTCAGCTTCCGGCTTCTCCACTTCTGATCCAGCTCTCTGCTATGGCCTGGGAAAGCAATAGACGATGGCCCAAGTCCTTAGGCTTCTGCACTGGCATGGGAGACCCGGAAGAGGCTCCTGGCTCCTGGCTTCAGATTGGCCCAACTCCAGTCATTGCAGCCAATTGGAGAGTGAACCAGCTGACAGAAGACCACCCCCCTTCTCTCTGCCTCCCTGCCTCCCTGCCTTTTCTTTTCTCTCTGTGTAACTCTGACTTTCAAATAAATCTTTAAAAAAAAAAAAACAGCTAACAGCACCAGCAGAATGATGTCAGGAATGTAGTATGCATTCAATAAATATACGTTGTATCACATGTTAAATATAGAAAGATAACTTGGCTGGACATATATTACTTCTTCTTTAAAAACGTAATTTCTCTTAGGTGTTGTTTACAGCTGATAACAGACAGACCCCCTGCTATTCAAGAGGAGCTAGATCTTATCCAGGCCCTTGGGTGTCTTGAAGAATTTGGGGTAAAGATCCTGCCTTTGCAAGGTGAGTTTCCTACTTGGTAGTAACTTATTTTGCACTGATTTCACTGTGTTCCTTCTTAGTTTTTAAGCCAACTAATAATTGATTATTTAATCCATTAGCAATATATCCTACTCCCTGACCCCATTTTTCAAATGAAATATGAAGTAGAAACCAAAAAGAAAAAATGAAGCCAACATTTCACCATAAATTTATTTTTTGAAGTTTACATTTGTAACATTTCAAAAAAATCACATTAGTAACAGAGCAGTGAGGTATTGAATAGAAACAAAAATCAACATTGGTGATTATGAATATGAGTTTGGCTTACATCAGTTTGGTATACATATTGTTTTTGTAGTTTGTTTTAATTATGTATAATTTTTATGCTTATCTCAGAATATTCATAATTAAGTTTTTTTTCTTTTTAAATAAGCCACAGTAGTTCTTTACATTTTTGTTACTACTAGTGCCATCTTAATATTGCTCATTCAGTCATCTAAATGTAAAAGCTGCGTAGGCACCATTCAGACAAACTCCCTGTTTCGCAGTCTCTTGTCTTTCTGCTTTGTGAGGACAAGGTGTGTTTTACAGTGTGTGAGACCCTACCTGAGCATTTCTGACTACTGGGAGCTAGGTGTTCTGTTGCTTCAGACCCTGGACCTCAGTGTGTCAGGGTGCTTGCCTACCTTCCTGCTCATTTGTCATCATCTGTGTTCCTAACTCTGGACATGTTTGGAACTAAGGGTGGGGAAGGTGGCTATCACTGATTCCTTTCCTTTCTGTTTTTTGGTAATTTTCCACCACAGTTGTCTTTCCTTTTTTTTTTCTTTTCTTTATTTCCTAGTCAGATACTGTTGGCCTGTTATAAGTTCCTTGATGTCTTTGTCTCTGTAGTTTCTAGAGTGGGTAGATCTCAGAGTTGGAGCCAGTACAGAGATGGTCAAGTTTTCATTTGTGATTTTACTGAAAGTTAGACTGCTGCTTCTCAGATAAATATATTAGACTTGAAAAAGGTGATATTATCATCACCTTGAATATTATTATTTGGAAATTTGTACACAATTATAAACATTTGTAAAGCAGCTACAGATACTGTGATTGTTAAATCACTAGAAAATTCTGTTTAGTTGTACTACTCATGATTTTTTTAGGCTCAAAGCATTTTTTTAAAACTTTTATTTAATGAATGCATTTTTACATAGATATGGCTTTAGGAATACAGTGGTTCTTTCCCCCAATCCTCGCCCTCCCCCCAGCTCCCAACCCATTTCCCTTTTCCTCTCCCATCTCCTTCCTCATTATGGTTCATTTTTATTATGACTCTTTATACAGAGGACCAACTCCATGCTAATCATACATTTCAACAATTTGTACCCATGCACACATACAACATATAGAGTACAGTGGGGAAAGAATTTGCAGTCGATTTTCATATTACAATTCAGTAGGGACGGAGGTCCTACATGGGGGAGCAAGTGCACAGTGACTACTGTTGTTCGTTTAACAATTAACGCTTTCAAAGCATCTTAAAGTTGTGAAATTTAATCAGTTACTGAAAAGCATGTTTGATTTATCCTCAAATGTCTTAGACCATTAATTCCTTTCCCCTCAAATGTTTATTTAATTTCTGTTTTTAGTCAGGGGATAATCCAGAACACATTTGTGTGTATTTTGGCTATTTATGTAATTCTAGCAGATTGCTATAAAATAATTTTTATAGTCCCTCAAGTACTATTGAAGTTTGAAATATTAAATTGGTTTAATTTTTATATTAAAAATTAATATATACTGATTTTTGAGAAATATTTTATTTATTTGACAGGCAGATTGACAGAGAAAGGGAGAGACACAGAGAGAAAAAAAAAAGTGATTGATTGATCTTCCAGCTGTTGTTTCACTTCCTAAATGGCCACAATGACTGGGGCTGGGCCAGGCTGAAATCAGGAGTAAGGAACTCCATCTGGGTCTCCCACAAGGATGGCAGGGACCCAAGTACTTGAGCCACCTTCTGCTGGTTTCTTGGGTGCAGTGTCTGGGAGCTGGGTTGAAAGCAGCAGCTGGGACTTGAACCTGTGCTCATATGGGATGGTAGTGTTACAGGTAGAGACTTAACATTTTATGCAAACCCTGAACCTTGATTTTCTGTGGTAATTTATTTGCATTGTTTTTGCTGGTAATATTTGTATATCAGCTGTTGGGTTTGCATGTCTACATCTAAATCAGTTCCCCTGCTGTAGCTTCCGAGATATTTTCTGGCTAAGGAGCGTTTTAAGAAAGACTTTTTCCACGCCTTCACGGCTTTCCCTCTTGGAATACTGATTTGGAGTTTCCTATTAGAAGGACTATCAGACAGCCTTCTGGATGTGGAGTTGCAATATTGCCTTTGTATACTGTGTGTTGTGTTTCTCCCAAGGATACAATTTAGATTTCAACTGCTATTTTTTTTAAATCAGCAATACAGACAAATAAAATCACTAGTTATTAGAAATTTATGGTACAAGTATTTTTATTGTAGTCTGCGTACAGTAGTTTATTTTGTCAGATTTGCTTTGTTTTGAAGCTTTCTTTGCTCACACTGTAAAAGTTGCTATTATTCATAAGGTGAAAGCTAGTAGTGTTAGCTACATTTTAATTAAGGAGGTAATAACAAAAACAAAAAACCAAGAGCAGAAATAGCATGTAAAAGTGATTCCCTATGAATTAATCTCTGTGAGAGGTTTTATTTATGCTTGTATGTGTATACTTTTCCTATAATTTGGGTGTTTGTATAAATTTTTCTTAGTATTCAAGTGAGCAGTTTTTTTGGTATTTCATCTATTCTACATATTTCCATAATAGAGTAAGTCAGTGTTCTAGACTTGTCACAGTGTGGTTATGACTAGCCTGGAGCTACTCCTGCCTGTTGTTACTAAGTAACTGTGGGCAGACTTCTTAACATTTCTTTGCATTTGAGTTTCTTCATTTAACAAATGGAATGCTAATAAACATCTTGTAGGATTGCTTTATAAAAGTAAGTCCATATGCCTGCAGAGCCTGGGGTATGGCTACGGCTACAGAAGTGTCAGCTGTCATTCCCGCTGTTGTATTTAGAGGTGTCTTCCCAGGGGAGGAGTCTGGGCGGAGCCTCTGCTGGCTCACTTCCCTCCTTCCTTTTTCTCCATTGTTTTCTCATTCTCCCTCTGGTTCTTTCCCTCCATCTTCAGCATCTCCTCTTGTCCTTCCATTGAGAAAACATTAATTTATGCACCTACTGTATTCTGGGAGTTGAAGTAATCAAGCAAATAAAACCCCCTTTTTGGCTTTAAGGAACACCAGGTCTCCTTCATGCGTTTCAGTTCTGGCTCAGCCACTTTGAGCTGGGTGATGGATGGCAACAGTGTCTTTGTATTTCACCTTTCTAGATGGGGATAATAATAAAACATTCCCCATACATCCTGAAAATTTGAGAGTCTTATTAGAGGACTCCATACTTCATAAAAATTTCTGTGAAGGTATCAGTAGTGATATTAATTACAGAAGCTAACATTTGAATTTTATATCCTAAGTGTACTTTATATGTATTCGTTAATCCTCAAAAAAACCCAGTGAGGTAGTAAGTAGTATTATTAGCAGTTCTCAGATGGTGAAATCCAGGCACAGAGAAGGTAACTTCCTTGGGATCACCTGGTGTATCAGTCCATTTTGTATTACTAAAACAAAAAATCTGAGGCTGGCCAACTTTATACACAAAGTAAGTTTATTTAGCTCACAGTTTTGGAAAATCAGGGCCCTCATCGGTGCTGTCAGAGTCCTGGGCAAGGGGAATGTGATATGGCAAGAGACAGGTGCACCTGTATCTTGATTTCTCTCCCTCGTCTAAAGCCAGCGGCATTCAGTCAGGAGGGCTCCACTCTGATATCTATTCTAATCCCAGTCAGTTCTTAAAGACTGTAGTGAGATTAAGTTTCCGTTTTCTTAGTGAACAACTCATAGTAGGAACTAAATTTCAACACTTGAACCTTTGGGAAACATGCTCAAACTATGTCCAACCATAGCACATGGTTAGTTAGAGATGGAGCTTGGATTCAAACCCAGGTAGACTGGTTCAAGGCCCTGAGTTAGAAAATGGTAGACAATACTCTGCTAACGTAAGGGAGGGAGAGTAAAAGTTCTTTGAGAGGGAATTGAATATGATAATTGCAGTCTGTTGGCATCCCAGTCTCTAAATTTATGTAACATACTTATGTTACTAGTTCTGTACTTTGCTCAGGTTAACAAGGTGACAGAATAATAAACTTAAGTGTTTGGGTGATCCTGTGCCTGGCTGGGAGACTGCCTGCATAGCCCATGCAGGAGGTTAAGTGGTCATGGCACACCATGCCTCCTGGGACCCTAGTCGGGGGTTCAGCACACTGAGCCATACATGTCCTGACTGCTGGTAGGTGGCAGAAGCCCCAGGCACATTTCCTCCTACCCTCACTTCCTGTTGAAGGGCCTTGTAATTGTCAATCAGGTAAATAGCTCCCAGATGTGGCTGGATCATAACCACCTGGAAGGCTACATAGGCTACATGACCTTCAAGCTGATAGGAGAACCTGTAGAGGCACCAGTATCGGCTTTATCCAAAGAATTAGTGTTGCCTTGAACTAGCTACATCCCCTCTGCCTGCCCCATAAAAACTTGTGCCTGATTGTTAATAAACAGACATGTTTACTGAAACTTGTCTCTGGTGCTTCTTGTTGAAGAATGCTGTCTCCCTACCATCCCTATAGTGTGGGCCTCACAGGATGAGCCCACATGAGTGTTTCATTAAACATTCATAAACATCAAGTGGAAGTTTAAGAAAATGATGATGCATTGCTATGTCTGGTTTCAATTTCTCCCTTGATTTTATTGAGCCAGGAAGATAGTGGTTATAGAAGGGAAGCGAACTTACTAGTTATGAAAGTCAAAGCTTCTCTAAGAAGAATGCAAGTTTGTCATCAGTGATGAAAATCCCAGGTTTTTACATATGTAGAATGATGATGAAGTGTTGCTTTGAAAATCAAATTAGAGAATGTAGAAAGTACGTGTGAACTTCTGTGTAATTTAACCCAAGGGAAAGAGCTCATAATATAGTAGCAGATAGTGAGAAGCAGCACCTTACCCTTTTTGATTAATTTATGAAAAAGTTGGAAATATAATGTCTCATTTTTGCTAGACTGTACCATTGCAGAAAACTGAAAAATCTCAGTGGCATGTCATATCGATCTTAGTTCCTGATCAGCACAGCACCACTGTATGAGGCATCCCCATAGCAGAGGGCAGAGATCAATGTTGCAATCCCATGGTGCCACTTAACAGCTTGCTCAGAAGTGGCATATGTCACTTATATCACTTAGATTCACTGCTCTAAAGCTCCTGGGGATAAGCCTCATGTCAGTGGTCAGGTACTTGGGCTACAAATAATTGCAGTGGATAACTGAGAACAGTAATATAGTCTACAGAGGATGTCTTCAGACATACATGTTGGCTATTGTGATTGTGAAGGAAACAAAAGACTGCATATACCTTACATTTGTAATAAAGGCCACACTAGGATGATTGTACCAGTAGTTTTATAAAGAGCCATTCTAATTAAAGGCCTATCTTTAGGAAATTCACACTGAAATACTTAGTAATAAATAACCTAGAATAGATATTTATCTGTATTTGTATGTTTGTGTTTATGTGTGTGTGTGTTGTTTACTGAGAGAATTTTCAAAAAGCCCATGGGTAATGTATCTGATGAAAACACTCTGCATGAGTTTAAAATTTTTTTTACATCAAAACAAGCATCTTTTCATTCAATTTTCCATGAACTTTTTGAAAGCCTGTCATTGAAGGAGGAATAAAGCCATCCTTGTATGATTGCACATGTATTTGTGTGAACAGAGTAAATTCTTAATACATGGTTAATCCTGGTAAGAATTATTGAGGAGTGCTTTGTACTATATTTGCAACCTTTTTGTTACTTCAAAATTAACTTAGAGGTACAAGGCATGTTCTAAAGAGAAGCACCAACTGTGTTCTCTATGTCTGCCACCCCTTACTGGCCTACAAGAACCTTTGAAAAAACAGAATTTGTCAGAAACAGCCATGGATTTAGGAATGGCTAGAACACTGAAGGTATGAACTATGTGTAAGGAGTTAGGTTGAATTCTGGTCTCATCACTTTTTTCAGTGACTGTCGCCAAAGCAGTTACCCTATCTGCACCTTATTTTCCACCATTGAGGATAACAGTAGTACCTGTCTTGTGAGATTTCTCTTTGTAGGATTATTATACAGAAAGCACTTCACACAGGACTTAGGGCAGCACTCATATTAATTTAACATCAGCATTATTACTGTTTTTTGGGGCTAGATTCTCAGGCAACATCATGCTCTGAAAGTTTGACATCTCCAAATAAATACCATTTATTGCTAGAACACACATGATACATCCTTCAATTAAAATATTTTCTTTTTTTTCTTAGTACAAATTGTTTTGATGTGATGTATTTTATTTATTTTTCTGATAGCTTATGTGAGAGGATTAGGCTTATTTTTAGAGAAGAGTTAATAAATAGAACAGTGAGCACTTTGAAGACTCCTACCTTTCAAACTAGTACGATATGGTGGAGATAACAAGTGGATATTTTGAGCATGGAATGGTTTTGGAGGGTGAGGTGTGGAACTGGTATAACAGGAAGTAAAATTAAATGAAGAAAAATTTTCCCTATGTCTTTTTTTTTTCCCTATGTCTTAACACAGTACTTGAAAAGGTAACACATTTCTCCAGTGTCAAAATGATATTTCATTTGATGTACTTTAGAAAGTTGATTAGGAAGAAGCAATCCATGTTGTGCATTGCTTATTTAAAAAATTTTTATGTGTTATAAATGTGCCTTTTATTTATTTTTTATTGATCTGGTGACAAAGGCACTTTACATTTCATTTTATTCCTTTGTCTGATAGTAGGAAGATCAGGACACCTTTTTTTTTTTTTTAGTATCCCTGCTAACGAGACTGTATCGTGTCTTCCTTTTGTAGTACGACTGCGCTCTAATCGGATCAGCCTAATTAAGGAGTGTATTTCCCAGTCCCCCACGTGCTACAAACAATCCAGCAAGCTCTTGAGCCTTGCAGAGTTGCTGAGGGTTGCAGGTAAGTCTTTGAGAGAAAAAAAAAAAAAGGCTAAACTGGTAACCCTAAGTGAACCTCAGATGCAACCTTACAGGTTTCAAAAGGATGGGTTGTTTCTAGAAAGTTTGGCCTGTTAAAATACATGTACCTATTTTGAGCTTCTGAAGACAGGTTTATTCAGAATGCCACGAAGGAAATGGTTGTGAAATCTGGAACAGAGTCAGGCTTATCAGCTATAACCAGAAAGGCAGCCTTACCAATTCACAGTCAGTATTCAACTTTGGTTTTACATTTTTTTTTAAAGATTTATTTTATTTATTTGAGAGACAGAGACAGAGAGAGAGGTCTTCTATCCTTTGGTTCACTCCCCAACTGGCCATAACATCTAGAGCTGAACCAATCTGAAGCCAGGAGCTTCTTTGGGTCTTCCACACGGATGCATGGGCCCAAGGACTTGGGCTGTGTTCTGCTGCTTTCCCGGGTGCATAAGCAGGAAGCAGGCTCAGAAGAGGAACAGCTGGAACTCAAATTGGCACCCATATGGGATACTGGCGCTGCAGGATGGGGCTTTAATCTGCTGTACCACAGTGCCAGCCCCTACTTTTATATTTTTGAAACTGAACCATTTATTAAAAAACTGCAATTGCCATTTGGTTGGGTGATAATAAACGCAGTAACAGAGAAGTTAAATATTTTGCTTAGCAAGGTTAAATAGAAGACTGTGGCTTTCAGGAAAAGCTTTTTCACTATGTTTTATGTTTTTTTGCTCACATTATTCTGCTTACCAGAGTCTTCTAAAATCTTTTTCCTTTGAACTTCTGCTTATGCTGATCTCTACAAGAATCATTTTCTTTCATAAGCAGTGCTTTGAAGTTATATTATTCTGAGGCACATATTATAGGCTCAAAGATAAAGGGGGATTAGTTTACATTTCTGACTCTTACAGTATATTTAGTGTAAACACGTGTTAATATTTCAAAATACTAATTTCTAGGACTCTTTATTCTCAGGGTCTCTAGTTTTAATAAGTTTTTATGTCAGTATTTCTTCTAATTTGATGGAAAGCCTAACATTAGTATATTTTTTAAAAAATTTAAGTTATCCAAGTTTCATGTATTTCATATATACAGATTTAGGAACAAGTGAGACTGCTCACCCTACCTTCCCTCCAACATTAGTATCTTTATCTTTGGAATTGCAACAGATTTGGAAAGGTGATAGTACTGTGATTGGGGTCAGTTATCAATTGTAAGACATAGTAGACAACTGGAAGGATAATTTGATGTAGCGCTAGATTGATTCCACTTTTATTTATTTGTGCATCTGGAAAATGGGAATGATACCCCCCTTTTTTAAAAATTTTATTTTAGTTATATAAGTTTCATATATACACATATAGGAAAATAGTGATACTTCCAATCCTACCCCTCCTCCAGCCCACGCTCCAATCCTTTTTCCTACTCTTAATTTTCACAAAGATCTATTTACTTAATGATTGTGAAGTTAACCCCATGTTAAGTAAAAGAGTTCAACAAATAGTATGATGAAAAAAAAAAACCACCATTCCTCAACAGAAGAAACAAGTGCTGTAAACAATCATCAAATCTCAAAATGTCCATTTCACTCCAATACATTACATTTTAGGTACTCTGTTAGTTACCTCAGATCAGGGAAAACATATCTTTTGAGACTGGCATATTTCACCAATATAATGGTTTCTAGTTGCATCTGTCTTGTTACAAAGACAGGATTTCATTTTTTTTTTTTTTTTTTTTTTACAGCTAAGTAGTACTCCATAGTGTATATATACCTAATTTCTTTATCCAGTAAACAGTATATGGACATCTGGGTTGATTCCATATCTTAGCTGTAATGAATTGTGCTGCAGTGCACATGGTGGTACAGATAAGTCTTTCAGATTCTGGTTTCTTTTCGTTTGGATAAATTCCCAGGAGTGGGATTGCTGGATCATATGGTAGGTCTATATTCAGATTTCTGAGCTGTCTCCATACTGTCTTCTACAGTGGCTGCATCAGTTTACATTGTCACCAGCAGTGGATTAGAGTACCTTTTTCCCCCACATCCTCACCTGCATTGGTTGTTTGTTGATTTCTGCATGAGAGTGATTCCAACTGGAGATGAAACCTCATTGTGGTTTTTATTGGCGTTTCCCTGATGCCTAGTGATCCTAAGCACTGTTTTCAGGTGTCTGCTGGCCATTTGAATTTCTTCTTTTGAAAAATGCCTGTTCAAGTCTTTTGCCCATTTCGTTCTGTTTTGTTTAAAGATTGATTTATTTGAACAGCAGAGTTACAGAGAGGCAGAGGTAGAGAGAGAGAGAGAGAGAGAGACAGACAGACACAGGTCTTCTATCCGCAGTTTCACTCCCCAAGTGGCTGCAGTGACTAGAGCTGGGCTGATCTGAAGCCAGTACCCTGGGACTTCTTCCAGGTCTCCCACGTGGGTGCAGGGGCCTAAGGACTTGGACTGTCTTCTACTGTTTTCCCAGATCATAATAGAGAGCTGTATCAGAAGAGGAGCAGCCAGGACTAGAACGAGCACCCATATGGGATGCCGGCGCTGAAGGAGGCAGCTTTGCCCACTGTGCCACAGCGCCAGCCTCCTTTTCCCATTTCTTAACTGGATTGTTTTTTGTTGTTGTTGAATTTCTTGAGCTCTCTATAGAGTCTGTATGTTAACCCTTTATCAGTTGTGTAGTTTGCAAGTATATCCTCCCATTCTGTCTGTTGCCTCTTTCCTTTCCTGAGTGTTTCTTTTGCAGTGCAGAAGCCTTTCAATTTGATATAATCCTCTTTGTCAATTTTGACTTTGATTGCTTCTTCTTCTGGGGCCTTTTCCAATAAATCTCTGCCTATGCCAATGTCTTGCACAGTTACCCCAATGCCCTCTTGTAATTTGATGGTATCTGCTCATAGATTTATGTCTTTGATAATGATCCCTTTCTTTACTCAACAAGTTTTGAGAGAACCTAGTGGGTTTTTGCATATAAAAGGATTTTGCTCATCAGGGAAGAATTTCATAAGGATCTTGCTAAGAAAGTTTTTCTGAGATGCTCTCTACATTTCCCATTCATCTAGTGGGATAAATTTCCCTTTTATCTATGTGACATGTTTAAATAGTAGCAGGAATAGCAGTGATTCCGTATGAGTTTTTAAATGTGAAGAATATTCTTCAGTCCTGCAGAATAGCATTTTAATTCTGTTTTTTGGGACCATCTCAACTTGGCCACATTCTGTTTCACAAGATTTAATATGGAAACTATTTGACAGCTCAGCACAGTTTCATCAAAGATAAGGTCGGGCAGATGTTTGTCCCCATAGTTGAGACGCTGCTTGGACACCTGTACACGGTAACAGCGTGCCTGGTTCAAGCTCCACTTGCAATTCTTGCTTCTACTTAATGTATACCCTGGGAGGTAGCAAGTGGTGACTCAAGTGGTTGGTCTGTACCGCCTACGTGGGAAACCTGTGTTGAGTTCTTGGCCCCTGGATTCAGCCTAGCCCAGACCTGACCTAAATGGTCTTTTAAGGGGAGTGATCCAGTAGATAGGAGTTCTCTATTCTCTGTGTATCTTTTTATCCCTGGATTGTAGTATTTAAGCCTGCATTCAAAGCCACTTCTTTGGGGCAGGAATTTGGTCTAGTGGTTTAGACAACCACATCCCACATGGAAGTGCCTGGGTTTTTACAGCCCTTATCTCTACAGCTTCCTGTTAATGCAGATCTCAGAGACAGTGGGATGATGGCTCAAGGTATTGGGTTTCTGTCACCAAAGTGGGAGAACTGGATAGATTCTTGGCTCTAAACTCTGGGATCTGCCCCTGGTCATTGCAGGCATTTGGAGAGTAAACCAGCAGATTGGAGCGCCTTCTGTTTGTGAAAGCAACACAAATAAAATCTTTTGATTGGTTAAAGTGGAAAGTCCTTATGTCACCAGTGGCTACCGGCTTGCCTTGATTCTTTTTCACTGACCTAGTAATGAATTACAGTTAAGAGAGATAAAGCAGGGATCCTAAAGCAAAGCTTATTAAAGTACCTTCCAAGAGAGGAACAAGCCGGTTGAGCAGAAGCATAACCTCCTACCTCCTTTCTTCTTGGTTTAGGGCTTTTTTTTTTAATCCCTAAAGTTTAAGGGTATTGACTGTTGAAGTGGCTGTGATAGTCATGATTGGTATTTGTGACTGATTTCTGGGGAGTTGAATACTTTTGGGCTCTCTGTGCATGCAGCTGTAAACTGGACCTCTTTGGCTTGGCTGAGCTGCCATGTTATCAGGATACTTTAACTGCCAGTTAAATGCAGAGTATGTGGTCTTAAATGTCCCTGGGTGGAGAGCAGGGTCCATGGTTCCACCCTAGAAGAGGGTCTCGTAGCCTTTTCCCTAGTCATTAATGTTTCCCCCTGTCACTAGTGCGTCTGTCTGCCCGGCCCCTAGTTATAGGTTAGGTGGTGGTTTCTGATCCAACTAGTAATTAGTGGAACATTTCCAATTAGTTACGCTTAAGTTTCATTTTACTGTTTGCACTGAGGTTTCCTTAAGTAGGAACCCAGCCCAGTTTATAAAGCTGTCTCAGCCTAATGGCATCCCACTTAAAAGGTTCAATTCCAAATACCACAGGAAAAGTGAGAATTTATTGCCAAGGGGAAGAGGAGGATGAATCGTTACTAAGATGTATTATCAAGAGTAAGGGGGAAATTCTGGCTAAACTGATCTTTACAGTATATAGAGTTCTTACTGAGTGCAATCCAGGGTGACCACTGGGGGATGGGGAATTTGGTCACATTCAAGGGTGATTCTCTACTTGGAGGGTTGAGGGTTATGGCTACACTGACTAAACGGAATTATTGCTAACCTTGGATTCAAGGACATGCCCAAGGTTAGAGCCTCATTGAACTCAGAGGAACCCATCTAGAGTTTGTTCAAGGGGGATAGTCTTTATCATTGTTCTGGATAACACTTATATTTTAGTTCCTAAATACTAGTTGCATTTTTAAGATGAGGCATATTATTGCTTCTTTACCTTCATCCTTTCACTTAATTTCCTAGTCACTATTTCCTGAACCCTTTAATAACCTGTTTTCTGTAGAAAGCATGGGTTTGTTCTCTATTACCTCAGTAATGCCAAGACTGCTCTGGAGGGCTGTGGATCACTCTAATTTTGAACTTTCTGTTTTGGAAATTTTAATTGGGACCTGATATTAATCCTTGATCTCTTAAGAGACTGAGGGCTAATTCCATGCTTCATAAGTAGATTGAAAGGGCAAAATTGCTGTGACCTCTTATCCTCTAATCATTTTAAAATCAATCTAATTTCTGTTTTATTTCTGAATTCATTTGAAAGACAGTGTTAATGAGCTACTTTATAAACTGGTGCTGCCATAATCATGAAGTCATTTGCATATGCTTACAGGTGAAGACCCAGAAGAAAGGCGTGGACAGGTTCTCATCCTTTTAGTAGAGCAAGCCCTTCGTTTCCATGACTACAAAGCAGCCAATATGCATTGTCAGGAGCTGATGGCCGCAGGTGAGTAGACAACTGACTTAACACTTAGCTGGCATCCTCTGTGCAGGACGAGTAATGGAAATGTTCTGTTCTGAAGTGAGTTGGCCTGATTGGTAAGCCAGCCACATTTTGGCTTGAGATAGATTTATGTGCACTGACAAATATGTATCCTTATTTATTAATATATTTTAATGAGCTCAGATGTTATATTTTAGCTGAGATTTTGGTTATTTTCCATTTCCAATTCAAAAGTTCTCATAATTTTTAGAACAATTTTATGTAGAATATTCTAATGCCATTTCATGCATTTTTTATATAAAAAGAAATTTACAACTTTTTGGAGCATCTACATTTTGTGACTATACAGTCAGCATTTGTATTATTTGATAAAAAAAAGTAGTTCTTTTTTAACCTCATGTTGAGAATTTGGGATATAGTTTCCAACTCTAAAATTTTCCATAATGAAATTTGAATTCAAGTCTCTGAAAGTAGATATTTCTGTGGAATAATTTCTAATTTAAAGAACACATTCCCTAGTGTGACTGAAGTGATGTCATCTGACTGTGGGCTCTGTACTATGTAGTCTACTTGCTGTGTTTATGCCTGAAAGTATGAAAGCTGAAACATATCATTTACCCACCATCCTTACCCTAATAGTGAGTTTTGAAACACAGTGCTGCATTTCACAATAACCTTGGGAGCTATATACTAATATTTTGTGTAGATTTGTATGTATAATCCACTGCATATCAATATTGGCCCCTATGAGAACATTTAAAACTCTAGAAAACAACTCAACACTTCACAGCCTCAGCATTAGAAAACTGTTGTCATAAAAAGCTATATAATATTCTGTAATATTAACCAAGTGCTTTTATAATGTCAAGTTCAGAATAATTATGGTTTCTATAAAACATTGCTGTACTAATAAAAAATTATAGAGAGCTTTGTGATAGTTTTGTTCCTATAAGCATTGTATATGAATAAACTTTCATTTGTTTAGAGAAATTATTCTGGATCCAGGGCTTTTTATTTAGAAAAAAAAGACCTACTTTCATGCTGGAACTCCTTCCAATAAGAGTAAAAATGTATTTTAAAAACTCAGGATATGACATCGTATGGGGGAAAAGTCTGCTGGGAGTCAGGGCTGATTCTGTTTTCAGCAGTGCCCTTGGATGTCTCTGGTCTTTTGCAAAGTGAGTGATTCTGGGAGGGCATCTATCATGATGTCTGTTTTTTTTCTAGCACTTTGCTGCTTAGAACTTGCTTTTCAATACAAATGTTACTTAATCCTTTCAACAACCAAAGAGTAAGGTGTTAATACTATTGTCTCTTTGTAGTAGTAAAGAAAGTGTGAAAACTGGTGCTTTCTCAAACCCATGCAAGTGCTATGTAGCAGTGTGGACATACCTTCAAGTCTTAGGGATGTGGCCAGCCACCTTTTCACTCAGCATCAAAGCTCAGTTGATCATATGTATTCATTGCCAGTGAATCTGAGATTTAACAGGGTTTGTTAGAAACAGTTGTCTGAAGTGATCCTGAGCTTTCTGGATGGTAAACCAGCCTCCTCTTTCTTTTCCATCTTTGATTCGTGTGCCTTTGTGCTTATATAAGAATGTGTCACTAGTGACTGTGCCTTTGCTCTGGTGCCATAGGACCCGAGCAGGAAGCCCTTGCAGTTATCATGTTAGATTGAATATTCTTGCACATTTCATTTTAGTTTAACTTTTTTTTTTCCCTGCCAATTTTGCAGGTTATCGTAAAAGCTGGGATGTTTGCAGCCAATTAGGACAGTCAGAAGGTTACCAGGACTTGGCTACCCGCCAAGAGCTCATGGCTTTTGCTTTGACACACTGCCCTCCTAGCAGCATTGAACTTCTTTTGGCAGCTGGCAGCTCTCTACAAACAGAAGTAAGTGCTCCCACTAAAATAAATCCCAAGGTGTTTGAAGTGCATTTTGTTCAGTGTTTAGAGCTCAGATGTGTGGTCATTTTATTTTTAATGGTAGGAGAATTTTTATTCATAGGAAAAATGAGTTATTACTTATATGAAAGGGATTCAATAATATTGGACTATAAAATAGTGTTGTTGATTGACTACCATAAGGAAGAAAGGTGAAAGACCGGTTTGAGTAGAACAGAAATTAATATTAGGGAATAAATTATTGAATATATTGGAGTAAGTTAAGACAGGTGAGAAACCACAGAAGGGAAAGCCAGTGGTAGAGCTATTCTTTCAGCTGTCTTTTGGAAACGGAGCCTTTTGGAGGTAGGCTTTGCTCGGGGAGCAGCTATATTTCCTAAAATTCCCAGAGTTGATCTACACAGAGGAGGGGCATCCTCTTGAGAAACACTGAAATATGTGAGGAGACGCTGGAGTTCACGTTTTCGTCTCCTTGGCATTCATTCCTTTGCATGCTAGGCTTTTCATAGTTGATTCCCACTTCTGAAACTGTTTCGTGCTTATGCAGATGTTCATGAAGTACTAAAGATAGCCTGTTAACAAAAACTGTTCATTGTGATTATTTTTTCAAAATAGTTCTTCTAAAATTTCAAACCTATATATAGGGAAGAGAGGCAAATTTTAAAACGTAACTCCTTGTAATATATAGCCCATTCTTGTTTCAGATTCTTTATCAAAGAGTAAATTTCCAGATCCATCCTGAAGGAGGGGAAGCTGTCAGTGTTTCGCCGTTAATGAGTAAATCACTACAAGAGGTGAGTTTAGAAGAGAGAGAGAAGAGTTTGGAAGGTGGCCATGTGTGGAGTGAGAGGGGATCACTCTACCTCGTTTTGTTTATGTGTGTGGAGATTGTGTGTGGAGATTGATTTTCTCAGCAGGTTTTTTGTCGGTGAAATACAACATTCATGTAGAGAAGTGCACAGGTGTCCAGATTAATGTTACTGTAACACATTCATGAAGTTATCACTAGATCAAGAATAGCACATGACCAGATTTCTTCCAAGTCTCTCAACACTCATCAAAATTTTTTATTTTATTTTTATATTAGGTGTATCCTTCTTGAAAATTCATCAGTACTCATGAGCTGTCTAGGACTTTTACCTCTGATACCAAGATTGTTATGTGGAATTTGTGCATGGAATTGGGACAAAGATCGCTTTTTCCCAGAGTAGAATATGTGTAACTGCTCCATTTGCACAGATTTTTCTTTTATATTAAAATTCAATTTGATGAACATATATTGAATACACCTGTGTACCCCCTCTTTGGTGCCAAATGATTAGAGAACTTCAGAGAGACTTGTTGTGTGACTTGTTGCCTTTGTGGAGTTTTGCATAGCCATCCTGCAGTGATGGCTCAAGGACAGCAATGAGCAATAAACCTGCACTGTCTGGCATGCTACTAGTCAGATGTAACTGCTGAGCACTTGAAGTAAGGTTCACACAACTAAGCAATCCAACTTTTAATTGTGCTGAATTGTAATTAAATTAAATTTGAAAATTCACATGAGGCTACTGCAGCCTTACCAGACTGGAGATCATAGTTGTATAAGACCCCATGTTTGGTGGAGGCTTATATTTGGCCACCACCACTGCTGAGTGGGTTTTTTATTATTGCTTTCCATTCAAATGGAAGCCATGGGTTTTTGCAGGGGCTAGTGTGATGTGGATATATTATGTCTTTGGCATGTATTTTTTAAAAAGTTTGTTTTTATTTAAGAGGCAGCAGAGTTAACCAGAGAGACTGGGGAGGAGAGGGAGGAGGAGGGGGAAGGGATAAGGGAGGAGCAGGAGGAAGAGGAGAGAGGGAGAGAGACAACTTTCCATCCATTGTTTCATTCCCCACATGCTTGCTGCAACTGCCGTTGAGCCAGCCTTGAATTTGGGGGCCAGGAACTCTGTTGGTTCTTCCACATGGATGTCAGGGGCTCAGGCCCTTGAGTCAGCATTTGCTGCCTCCCAGCATGCATGTCAGCAGACACAGGGTGTGGGAGCCAGTGTAGCCCACAGTGCCACAGTGCCCCCATCTGGGGTTTTGACTTGTGTTTGTTCTGATTAGTAACGATTAGATTTTTCCTCCTTGAATGTGAAAACACGTTAAATCCTCTGATGTTTTCTCCATGGGATTCAGAGCAGTTCTAATAGTAACCAGCAGTCTCTAAGTGTACTTTGTGTTAGGAATAATTGTCTTTCAGGGCCCAATTAAAGACTTCCTAGTTTTCACAAGATCTTCTTTATCCCAAGATTTGGCTGTCAGCCCTCTGCAGTGTCCAGGCACATCCTTCTACCCGTCTGTCCAGCGTCATCTCTGGCCCTGCCTTCAGAACGTGTGCTGTGTCACAGTTGGGAACGTCTCAGCATTCTCTGAGTAGACACTCTCCACCTTTGGTGTGAAAGTATTCCTGCAGTCTTCTCTCTTCTTGTTTTGTGCTCTCGTAATCTTTCTTACCCTTTCGATGTGTTTCCTTGTAAAGTTTTCCTTGAGTTCTGTTTGCTCTCGCTGTTTTCTTCTCATTCTGTTTCAGCACTCTGTGGTGTGGAGTGATACTGTGTGATAGCTGAGCTAAGTTGTTTTTGTTTTTCCTCCCTTCAAAGACTTCCTGTCATGGTGACTACCTAGTAAAGGTTTCATAAGCTCATTTGGAAAGGCCCATTTCATGATGATTAGTCTGTGGTAGAAATAATCTGGGAAGTGGATTTTAGCCTAAGAATATAAGGAATTTTCTGTTAAGTTCATCAATGTCTACTGTGGGGGCTACTGAGATCCTGTTATGATTTAGCTAATATAAAGGTTGTGTCAATTCTGTCGTCAGTGTCTTTCTGCTGAGCTCAGCTCCATGAGCTTGCTCTGAGTCTTTATCTTTTATGAAATCTAGGGAAAACCTTTATGATTATTGAGTTTCCTATTGTCTGCTTCCTAGAATTACAAAATGTCAGCCTGAATTAGAAAGTGTCAGCCTGGCCACGTGGTGGACTCTTCTTTAGAGCAGTCCAGCGGTGATACTGTAAATGGGCACATGCAGCTCCCTTAAAATCTGTCAGGAAGAGAAGCAAGCCACCAGCCATCCTCCACCTGTCCCACTTTGCAGGGAAAAGGAATTCTTGTGAAATGACTATCTTTTGATGGTTGCTCTCCACCACTTTTCCTTAAAAGCTTTCCGGTCTTCATTTACTCTGTTCCAGCCAGTTGTAATGGATCTAGATCTCATGAAAAGCTAATTCTAATGCTCAATGAATGCATTATGACTTTTATTCATGAAGCACATTTCAGAATGTTATAGCTGCTATTATTAGATTAAAATATAGTGCTCAGATATAATGCCGTGTGTTACACATTAACAGTGGATGTAATAGCCACATTAAATTATGACTCATAAATGAGAGCTGACTTTGTGTGTAATCTGCTTAATGCTTAAGACTTTCATTACTTCCGTTGTGAACATAATGATTTTATTTATATATCCAAGCAAGGTAGAGATGTAATTGCTATGCAGCAGCACTTACAGTAGTACAAGTGCATCCTACAAATTTGAGGATATTGCTGTTTTCCCTTTGTTTATCCATAGAACAAAGCACATCCTTTGTGAATACCAAAATAACACATTTGTAGTTTCCTATTAATGTTTAGTTATTATGTATTTTAGGTGAAACAGTATTCTACCACTTAGAGTCTATTAACATTTTGTTAGCCTATTATTAGTTATATCATTTAGCCAATGGTGTTTTCCCCAGATAAATCTAATTAGAAATAGAAATGGATTATATACAAGGTTCCCATTAAAAAATCATTTTCACTGTGGGAAAACTTGTTACGAGCATTTTAAGTGGATAGAGATTTATATGACTGGACTAATTAATGTTTAAGACTTGAGCAAGGTTTAAGCATAGAGCTCCTTTGAATTTATAAGTAGAGATTGTCTAGAAATATTCAAATAAACGTGATCAAAATGGCAGTTCTATTTCAATATGATAGCCAGCATTTTTTTTTCTACTCACCAATTAAGGGACATTTGGATTGTTTCCACTTCTTTGTTGTTATGAATATTGTTCCTCTGAACATTCATGTATAAGTCTTTGTATGGAACTATGTTTTGATTTCCTTTTCTAAAAAAAGATTTATTAATTTATTTGAGAGACAGAGTTACAGAGAAAGAGAGAGAGAGGGAGGGGGAGAGGGAGAGGGAGAGGGAGAGGGAGAGGGAGAGGAAAGGAGGGAGAGAGGGAGGGAAGGAAAGATCTTCCATCCATTGGTTTGCTGCCCAAATGACTGCTATTGCTGGAGCTTGGCCAATCCAAAGCCAGGAGCCAGGAGCTTCTTCTGGGTCTCCCATGTGGGTACAGGGACCCAAGCACTTGGGCCATCTTCCTGTGCTTTCCCAGGCCACAGGCAGGAAGCTGGATCAGAAGTGGAGCAGCTGGGTCTTGAAACAGAGCCCATGTGTGATGCCAGCTCCGAAGGCTGAGGCTTAAATTACTATACCACAGTGCCGGCCCCAAGGAGTAAAATTACCTTGTTGCATGGCATTTTTATATCTACACTTGAGGAGACTGCCAAGCCATTTCACAAAGTGCCTGCATATTTTTCATTCCCGTCAATAATGTATTAAAGTTCCAATTTTTCCACATCGTAGCTAATGCTTTTTATTAGCTGGATTTTTAAAAAAAATTTTTTTAAATTTTATTTATTTATTTGAGAGTAACAGTTACAGACAGTGAGAGGGAGAGACAGAGAGAAGGTCTTCCTTCCATTGGTTCACTCCCCAAATGGCCGCAACAGCTGGAGCTACTCTGATCCTGAGCCAGGAGCCAGGAACTTCTTCCCAGTCTCCCATGCAGGTGCAGGGGCCCAAGCACTTGGGCCATCTTCCACTGCTTTCCCAGGCCATAGCAGAGAGCTGGATTGGAAGAGGAGCAGCCAGGACCAGAACTGGCACCTATATGGGATGCTGGCACTGCAGGCAGAGGATTAACCTACTGCGTCACAGCACAGGCCCCTGTTAGCTGGTTTTAAATCTGTTTATTTGTTTGTTTGAGAAACAGAGAAAGAGACCTACCATCTGCTGATTCACTCTCCAAATGCCTGAATGACCAGGACTGGTCTAGGGCCACCACTTGTAGTTGGGAATGCAATCCAGGTCCCTGATGTGGGAGGCAGGAACCCAGTTCTTTGAGTCATCAGCGCTGCCTCTCAGACAATAGCGGGAGTGTAGAATCAGGAGCCAGAGCTAGCAATTGAACCCATGTGCTCTGATGTGGGAACAGTTGTCTTAACCATTATGCCAAATCCCATTCCTTTTACTAGCTTTTTGACTGGCTTTGTCTTTTTTATTAAAGCCATTCTTATATTTGTGCTATCTCACTGTGGTTTTGATATTCATATCCCAGGTAACAATTAATGATGAGCACCTTTTTGTGTTTTTATTGGTCATTCTTATACTATCTTTGGTGAAATGGCTATTCACATGTTTTGCCTATTTGCTTAAACTAGGTTATCTGTCTCGTTATTGAGCTGTAAATGTTATTTTGCCTTTTTTTTAGATATCAGAGTACAATTTTTTTTAAAGATTATTTGAGAGGCAGAGTGAGAGGGAGAGACATAGAGAGAAATCTTCCACCCACTGGTTCACTTCCAAATGGCCAGCTAGGCTGATCCGAAGCTAGGAGCGAGGAGCTTCTTCCAGGTCTCCCACATGGGTGTGGGGGCCCAAACTCTTGGGCCATCCTCCATTGCTTTGCTGGGGTATTAGCAGAGAGCT